GCAGAGAGGAGAAAGGACGAGGAGGACCTAGCCCACTACACTACATAGGGAAAGTTCAAGAAGGGCAGGGAGCTGTTGCAGAAGTGCGGATGGACTACGAGCAGTGAACTGGGGAGGGGGGCCATGCAGCAAAGCGAGTGTCACGAAAATGCGTGGGCACAACGATCCTACGGGGTGGGCAGGGGTATTTACGCAGGAATAGGAACCACCAAGATCAGCGCTGGACTACGAGTGCCAGGACTACTTACATGAGTTCTTCACCCAGTGCCGCAGTTGCCAGACCACCCCACTAGATTGGCACCGCTCGCAGGCATTCTCCGCAGAGAAAAAACAACAATAAACCAGGCATCCTTGGCAAACGACTACTACACGTCTACGACGCTTTCGGCATGGCCGGGCACTCGGGCATCTACCAACGCGGGCCACCGCCCGACCACCCACCGTGGGCCCAAGGCGGTTGACCGCACAGATGCCGAGAAAACATCATACTCTGCGTGCAAGCTGCCCAATGGCGAGCAGCACAGGGCGGGGTCAGCAAAGTAACAACCAACTACGACGGCACCAACGCATTTGCGGCCACCAACAGGGCGCTCCTACGGGCGGTTGCGTTCAAAAACGCCCACGAGCGCGACGAGCGCTTTGCGATGGCGGCCGTCGACCGCTCCACCTTCAGCTTCGAAACAGCAGATGGACGAATCGAGGCCGAGAGCACCACATGCGCCCAAATGGGCTTGACACTCTGCCCCGGACAATAATTCAACGACGCCTACAACATCTACGTAAGTCAGTGGTGTGTTACCGAAAGAAACGACCCAAACCAATGGCTGCACGACGCAGACGACCCAGTTAGGGGAAAAACTCACGGCATCGGCCTCAACACGTTCATGGACGACATCACACACGTACTGGCCGTCCCACAACAAGCGAGTGCGACTCAGATCGAGGAGCAACTAAACGACACCCCCGACCGCCTGTCAGCAACGCTGCAGAGGGGGGTGGGGCCTCAACCACAGCGAGACCAACCGCGCACTCTACATCACCAGTCAAGGAAGCTATGGCACGACCCGAAAATTCCGACGAAACACCGCGCTCAAAGGCCTAGCACTACGAGAGATGAGGGCGCTTGGCCCTTACCTCCCAGCGGGCCAGGGCATCGCGGGCGAGATCGCTAGGCGTTTCGCCGCAGTGCGCGTCGCCTGGCGACAGTGCGGCACCTTCTGGACCAGCGAGGCGCCCAGACAAATCAAACGACTGATGGTCATGGCCTTCGTCATAGGCGCAGCGCGCAGCGGCCTGACAGCCTTCGTCGTCACCACGACCCATACTAACGCCATTGACAGCACGCTGGGCAAGTATCTACGCACACTGGCATGCGGGGCGATGTCTTGGGCACGAGAGGACGGAACTACACGATGCAACAACGTCCGACAGGTATTTCTTTACTGGAGAATGGAACGTACAAGTGTGTCTCTTATGGTGCGAAGATTGAGGCGGCACCAAAGTTGGGCCCGATGCCCCGAGGAGCATGGATCAGCACTAGCGGCAGTGTTCGGATCGCCCCGGCTCGACGTTTCACGATGCATTCAGAGATTAACAGCTATGAGCTGGACCGGACCAGACTCTACCCCCTGGGCACAACAATTTGCGACAGATGCGCAGACGTTGGCACGGGCGGGCGAGGGGATGGGATGGCACGAGAGCAGGGATTCGGACATCGCCAGTTTCGAGGAGGGAAGTGTGGAACAAAATCTCGGGTTGCAAACTGACCCCAGGGCCTTGTGCAGCTTTGAGAGAAACTGGGATGTTCTGAATTGGCGGGAGGAGGAACTGGTGGATGGACAGTGTGTGGGGGGAGGGCTTTAGTGCTACCTTGCTGGTGTGCCCACGTTGCGACAGATGCAGAGGGGATCGAGACTACTTGCGGACGACGCTCCCCTACCTACGCGGCCCTAGCGCGCCGCCGACGGGAAGCCTGCAATATGCGACCCGTGGTGGCATCAGTCGTAAATGCAACCAGTGCCCATGGTGCAAAAGTACATTTGTTGGCCGCAAGACAACTATCGACCTTGCTACTAGATCGGCCCACTACAACAGCATCTGTCACCAGGACCATTCGAAGTGGGACCGCCCCGTCCAGGAGCCAAGAACGTTAACGCGCCCTATATGTAACCACCTTGCTGAAGACCTCGAGGCCTTCCACGCGCCCGCACGGGTGCACCTGGCGGGGCCCGATCAGATCCGCGAGGCGAAGGGGGCAGCAGCGCGCAGCGCTCGGCGGCGAAGAGATGCCAGCGGACTGGCGCGTCATCGCCACCAGGCGCCCGCCTCCGCAGGAGGCCCATGCCCGCCCGCAGAAGCAGGCTAACACCGGCGGACAGGGCGCAGCCGCAGGAGCAGGAGCAGGAGGCGGTGGGCAGGAGGGCGAGGCGGTCACGGAGCCCAGGGAGACCCACGAGACAGCATTCGAGCCCTGCAGCGCCTCGCGCTCCAGAACGCCGCAGAACTCCCCGCGCTGAGCCGCATCGCAGGCGAGTTCTGGCTCGCGCCCCCCCCGGAGGACTGGGCCCAGGCGCCGATCGAGACGGGCCGAGAATGCGGCGGGAAGGTAAAGGCGGCGGGCAAGGGTCACGGACTCGGACCACCTCGCGGCCACGAGGCGGCGACGCCAGCCGAGGTGCGCACCAAGGCGCTCGAGAACAAGCAGGACCTCGACCCGTCGATGCAGTGGGCCCCCAGAGCTTCGCGGAGTTCCTGGAGCAGCTGGAGCAGCCGTGCGGAGTGACCTTCGTCACCGAGGTCTCCCTGCAGCGCAAGATCCAGGAGTGCTACGAGCCCTCCGACGAGGCCATGGAGACGGGCGCGCGCAGGGTGAAGCTCCTCTACTCGATCAACGCGGCCCCCTCGTTTCGCGCGGCACCCCACCGGCGGCAGATCGAGGGTGGGCAGATCACCGAGATCATGGGGTTCAAGGGGGAACTATTCATGCAGGGCGCGGCGTTGGCGCCGGCTTACCTGGGCGCCGAGAGGAGCCGCTCAGCGGGCCCGAAGGGGGGCCTCGAGCGAGTCGTGGAGGCCCAGCTCAATCGGCGCCGCGGCCAGTAGAGTGCCAGCCGCACGCCTCGCAGCCCGGCAGCCGCAGGCGCAGCGGCTATTGCCCGCCGCGCCCTGCAGAGCACGGGCGAGCTCCTCCCGAAGCTGCTCGGGCACTCGGACACACTGCAGCGCCAGCTCTACGCCCACCGGGACCGCGTCGCCATGACGCTCGATCGCATCAGCGCCTCGAAGATTTCCAACTGCCGCGTGGAGGGGGCGGGCCCGCTCGACGGCGCTGCTCAAGATGCAGATCCAAGAGCTCGCGGCGGCGATCGACAAGTGCAGGGAGGTCGGAGCCTACCTCGCGGATGCCAGCCGCCTGTGCAAAGGGCTTTTCCCGTGGGGGCTTGACTGCGCGAGGTGCAAGTGCGACGAGCTGGAGGGCTTCTGCAGCAAGTGGGCGCACAGTGACCACGGCTGGGGCTACGACGAGGTCGCGAAGGACGGGGCGCCCACCATGGGCGGCGGGGCAGCGGCCGAAACCATCATCAGCATCCAGCCGCAAAGGCCGCCGTGCAGGTTCCCCAGTCCAGCGGTAAAGATCGCGAAGCCGCCCCTGCAGGAGCAGCCGCCCATGCATCACATGGCGCAGCAGCCGCTCCCGACGCAGCGCCCCAGCAGCAGCGACGTTAGAACGTACGACCAGGATGGTCGGCATCGGCGGCCCAGCAGCAGCGCGCAGAATACAGCGGGGGTCGAAGTGTGAGAAGCCTGCCAGCTCGCGCCCGCCAGACAGCCAATCAGTACGATTCCCAGCTTCAGGGCGCCGAAGGGCACTAGCAGCAGCAGCTAGGTGATCAGGCGCCCGCCAGCTTGCCAAGCAGCACTGCGCCCAGCTGCAGGGGGCCGAAGGGCACTCAGCAGCAGCAGCAGCAGCAGCAGCAGCAGCAGTGCACTATAGCGCGCCAGCCTGAAGAGGACGAGGGGGAGTGGAGAGGAGTTGTGGAGTGTGGGGGAGTGCAGAGGTCCTCAGCAGGGGTCGCCCCGCCCCCGAGTAACGGGGGCAGCGCCTCCTGCCCGCTTTTTTTGCGTCTCTCTTTCGGTCCCAAGCGGGGTCTCCCGCTGGAGGGGCACGAAAACCACCCACCACGGGGCGGGGGCCTCGACGCCCCAGGCTGCCCCCCTGAAGCAAAGGGGGCTAGCATCCATATGATGATTCCCTGGGGGCCCCACCCGTGTTTCACAGCCCCCGCGAGGGGGCGCTCGAGACCATGGACCCCCAAGGGCCTTTACGTTTACCTCCTCCTCCTCCTCTTCCTCCTCTTCCTCCTCCTCCTCCTCCTCCTCCTCCTCCTCCTCCCCGTCCTCCTCCTCCTCCTCCTCCTCGTCCTCCTCCTCTTCCTCCTCCTCCCCTTCCCCTCCTCGCCCTCCCCTCCCCGGGTCGCCTACGGCCCCGGGGGAAAATGGAGAGGGGCAAGTCGAGACAACGGCGGCAATTCCATTGTGCCTTAGTCCGTCTTGGGCCCCGTGGGAGCTTCTCGCCGCCGCAGCTGGATCCGCCCGGAACAACGTCCGAGGCGGGGACTCATCCATAGCCACCGCCTGGGGGTTCGATCTTCGCGGGCTTCCGTTGGCGGTGGACATGGATAGATTCGGGCCCCGGGGGCCAGCATATATCCATATCCACCGCCCGCTGGGTCCCCAGGACGTCGGTCGACCCATGCCTTATCCTCTCTGGCAATGTGGCCCTCGGAAGGGTCTTTGTCCGCTCGCGTGTCCTCCCCAATCAACCCCGACTGTAGTCCTTCCCGCCGAAACTGTCGCCCGAAAAGACGGGAAATTCGGGGATACGCCTCCAGGGAGCTATCCAGACGCACCCCTTATCGAGAATGACCCCCCCCACAGTATATCCCCGAATTCGGCCCCAGTTATCTGTCCAGCCGAAAATCCAGAGAGTCGGAGATCAGGGTCGCCATCCCTCCCGTTATTCTGTGCCTCTTGCACGGCGGCGGGCATCCGAATACCAAAGCCGCACTTCGTCGGGAGCGGTGACGACTCGCTCTACATGTACAAGTGCACGATGCCGGTCGTCCGAGGCTCGCCATACAGCCTCGTGGATTCGGCGGGCGTGACGGCTGCGCCCAGCGCTGCCTGCGCTTCCGAGAGCAGCAGCCGTGCTGCCCATGAGAGCGGGCGCGGTTGGAACAACGAGCCTGCGGCACCCTCCGTTTTGTCGGCCTCCTCCGTTCGTAGGCACGCTAACGGCGATGCAGGTGGCGGCGATGCAGGTGTCCCAACATTGCCTTTGACCTTCATCGCCGTTGGCGTGGCCTGGGCTCATGTCGGCGTCGTCGTCGTCGCCACCTCGTCCTCGATCGCGCCTCTTCTGTCGCGGCCGCTCTGTCGTCGCCCGCCGCCGTCGCCGCCGTCGTCGTCCTCATGCCGTGCCGTGCCGTGACGTCCTTCATCAGCCACGCGTGACGAGCGACACAGCATGGAGAGCATGCTTGGGACATGCTCTTGCTGTTCGTCGCGCAGCCTGATCCTGAGGAGGGCGACTGAGAAGGCAGGGCGGAAGGACAATGCTTCGCAGGCCTAGAGGTTGACACCAACACCAATATCGGCGGTGTGCGTCCACCGAGGGAAAAGATCCCCACCTCGGTGATGGTGGTAATACTTCTGGCTTTCAAGGTGGCCGAAATCTTACTGCCAACACCGAAATCGAGGATGAATCTTCCCCTGTGGAGGCAAGCCCCCTTGTGTTGGTGTTGGTGCCCATGTCCAGGCCTCCGAATGCTGGCAGACGGGAAAGAGGTGGCGCGCCTCGGACCAACATGCCCAGCGACTTCCCGTCTCCCTGCACAGGGAGAACGCGCGGGCGGTGTTGCGGCGCCTTCAGACCCTGTCTGGAGGGGCGGGGGTGGCAGCGGCCCGCCTGGCCGCGGCCACGGCGGCCTCCACGGCAGACGCCGTGTGAGGTGCCCCCTGCGCTGCCTAGCGCCCCCCGCCCACCCCCCCCCCGCCCTTGCTGGGCAGCGCGGGCGCCCCCCTCGCCCTTTCGCCAACGTCGCGCCGGCGACCCCTCCCACGCGCCGCCCGGCCTTTCCCCGGCGGGGCGGTGGATGGATCCCGCAGAGGGCAATCCCCACCAAGCCGCATCGCGCTGGGTTCGGGCGGCCACCCCGCCCAGGTCGCCGCCGTAGGGTCCGCAGCCTCGTCGCGGGCGGCTCTTCTCTCCCGGCCCCTGGCCCGGCCTGTCTGCTTGCGGCCGCTGCTTTCTCTCCTCCTTGTCCTCCTCCCCCTCCTCCCCCTCCCTTCGCTTCTGCTCGTTGCTTCCCTCCCTTTCCTTTCCTCCTGCTCCCTGCCTGCTGTCTCCGCCTGGCCCGTCTTCTGCCTGCCCGCCCGCCCCGCCGGCCCTGGCCTCCCGCCTGGGCGTTCGTCGTCGTCTGCCTGCTTCTCCCCTCCTCGTCCCCTTCCGCCGGACAGCACAGCCTGCCCGGAACCAGCGTGGCGGCATATAGGGGCCTGACAAGCGCTTTGAGTCTGCTCGCAAGGAACGGCAAGGCGCCTTGGGAGGCCCAGAAGGGCCAGCAGACCTTTTCCAAGGGCGTCCTGGGGGCCGCCGAGACGGATTAGGACCAGGACCTGGTCAGCAAAAACAGGGCGGCAGAAGAGGTGGCGCGTGAAACGCCGCTGGTCCGCCCCTCCCCGCCCACTGCCGCTGCCTCCCTCGGAGGAGGGCCAGCTGAGACATCGGCGGCTCGCTCGCCAGGCCCAGGTCTGGTCAAAATCGGTCCCTGGACCCCTCCCAGGGTCCAGGAGGAGGAGGACCAGGACGACCAAGACGACCAGGAGGACGAGGAGGAGGAGGAGGAGGAGGAGGAGGAGGAGGAGGACCAGGACCAGGACCAGTCTTTCGAGGCGGGCCCAGCCGTGGCGACAAGGTGCTTCCAGGAGGCCCAAAGAGGGGTGAACAATCACGAGGGAGGGCCGCCGGTCCTCCCTGGCTCCGCTGGTTCTGGCCCGCTGAAGGGTATCTTCAGAATACTCGCTGAATGGGTATCTCCAGAATACCCTCCGAGGGGCTATCTCCAGAATGCCTGCTGAGGGGTATCTCCAGAATGCCCGCTGCGACACGCGAACCAACCACGTTCTCAATCCCCAGGGGTCAACGTCCCGAGCCTGTCCTGGCCTCCCGCCCCGCGAAGCGGAGCGACACGCGGTCCGCTCGCAGGGCACGGCGTGTCGCCAGGGCCGCAGCCGCGGCGCGCTAAGCAAAGTGCCCTGTAACACTGCCGCCGCCGTCGCCGCCGCCGTCGTCGTCGCCGCCGCCGCCGTCGTCGTCGTCGTCGTCGTCGTCGTCGTCGTCGTCGTCGTCGTCGTCGCGACTGCAGGCTGAGCGCAGGCCGCAGCCATTTGACTCGAACAGCGGTGCGGGCGCGTGCGCGTCGCCCTCGCGCGCGGGCCGGTGCGCGCGCGCGCCGAGAGCCCCGCTCTTGCAGCGCCTTGAGCGCTGCTCCGCGAGCGCCGGCCGGGCGCGCCGTGCGCTGGGGGATGCCGGGCACCGCCCCAGACGCGTGGGCCGCTCTGCTGCCCAGAGGCCCGCAAGGGTGCTCGCAGGAGGACTCAGACCTCAGGAGGGAAGGGGACCGATACCGCCGCCCGGGCCTCCTGGGAGGCCCTCGTCGCCCTCGTCGCTACGGCTGGATTCGTTTCGAGATTCTGGTCAGAACGCACCCTTGGAGAGGTCCAGGGAGTAGCGCTATGGGTATCGTTTCGCGCACCCAAGACGCCCACCTCCTCTCGTGATGAGGAATCACGACGGGAGGTCTTGGCCTTTTTCGGCCTCTGGGGGGCCATCGCCGGTTTCGGGCCGTGCGAAACGGTCCGGGATGAAACATTGGCCCCAGGGAAGGGGTCCAGACTTTTGGGGGTCGACGTTGCGAAAAAGTCACGGCCTCGGAGTTTTGGGTCAGAGGAGAAAGAGATCATACCGATACCGCTGCTCGTCCTGGAGAGCCCTCGTCGCCACGGCTGGATTCTCTTCGAGGTTCTGGTCAGAACGTATCCCGAGAGAGGTCCAGGGAGTAGCGGCGTCTGTATCGTTTTGGTTCTTGTCCTCCCAAGGACGCCGCGCTGGCCCGCTGGACCTTCCTGCGCTACTGCGTGCTCGGCCTGATCCTGCTCTGGCGCGTTTGCAGGCTGCGCCGGAAGGCAGAGGACGGGGAGGCGCAGTGCTGCCTGAAGGGCATCCTGGACGCCAGCTGCCTGTTCGTCCGGACAGAGGGCGTCGGGCTTGTGATCTATTTTTCTGTGTCCGCCGTGATGGACAATGCCGCCATCTTCGTCTTCGGCAGAGGCGACGAAGCTGGTTTCTGCGAGACCGTCAAGGCTGTCTCTTTGTACTCCATGGCGCTCGTCACCTTCTTGCCGAATGTGCTTCTTGGCATCCGGTTGCAGGAGACGTGCTACGACAAGCGATCCTGTGGAGTCAAGTGTGTGTTCATCTTGTTCATGGCCATCATTACTGCAGTATCCTTCGTGGTGCGGTTGTGGCTGGTGTACAACGAGGGCTATGCATCGCTCGTAAACTTGAGGCTCGAGAGCCTCAGTCTTCGTTGGAGGGTCGCGCTGAGTGTGGGTGTCCCCCCACTGGTCGACGGCATTCAAAGCACCATGCTGATATTGACAGGTCAACACAGCTGCCACCTCACGTGCCCGCTCCTCATCAAACCGAGCGTTGCTCAGCATCTCCTGGCAGAAATGGAAACCATCAAAAAGCAGATGATGACACTAGAGAAGCAGAATAAACAGCTGATCGAGATGAACGAGCCGCTGATCGAGAAGCTCAACACCCGCACCACCAAAGAAAAGTCTCCCGATGCGAGGAAATCTGCTGGATGCTTCCCGACAGGTTTCACTATGAGTACTGGGTAGGGTTGCGAGAATGTTCTTGCAGTCTCGTTGCGATTCAGAGTTGCTGATGGGTCAGCCGACGCTCTCTTTATATCGGTTCCGAGCGGCGAGTTCATGTTCCAGTACGTTTGTTGCATATCTCGTGGGAAAAAAGGCTCAAGACTTCGGAGGAAGAGAGGCTGCACGCTGAGCACATTACTTGGTAGAGTTGACACGCGTTCGTAACAACAGCAAACGCAATAGCAACATCAGCCGTCCCAGTACAGTCAAGCCGACGAAACAAGGACTGGCTTGGGCCCAGGAGGGGCCATGGCTTTCGCGCCGCTCTGCGCGGCTCGCTGAGGCCAGCGAAGCCGCCTCGCTCCTCTCCGAGAGCCCCTCGTGGCCTCACGGCAGCGCGACGGCCCGCAGACACGACGTCGGCATCGGTCGCCACAGCACAGTTGCGAATCGCTGAAGCAGGGACCGCCCGGGCTTTCGGGAGGGGCTCGGGCTCTCGGGCCGCTCCTCGGGCCTCCGTGGGGCGGAACTTGTGGCCCGGGCCCGCCGTGGCCACCAGAGCCTCCTCGTTCCTTGCTGTGCGCGGCCTCGCAGAGGGGACGCTTCCTCCTCCCCCCCCCCCCTCCTCCTCCTCCTCCCTCCCTCCCTCCTCCCTCCTCCCTCCTCCTCCTCCTCCTCCTCCTCCTCCTCCTCCTCCTCCTCCTCCTCCTCCTCCTCCTCCTCCTCCTCCTCCTCTTCCTCCTCGCAGCACACGCTGGCTGCGCCGGCACCGCGCCGCTGCGGCCGCCCCTCGCGCTCCCCGCGGCTCCCTCCGCCTCCCGGGCTCCGCTCGCCCCCGGCGGCCGGCGGACCTCTCGGCCCGCGCGCGGCCGAGGGGGGCACGGGGCCCCGCGCGGGGCTCCCTCTGGCACGGCGATCGAGGAGGACGCGGGAAGATCAGGGGCAGCGTCAGGGGTGGGGATGGGGCTCCCTCTGGCACGATCGAGGTGGCCGCGGGAGGATCAGGGGCAACGTCAGGGGGGGGAGAGGGAGGCTCAGGGGGGGGGGGTCTTCGGTAGCAGAGCATGGGAGCCTGGCATGTCCTCGGAGTTCTGTCGTCAGGATGCTTTGCCGTCCTCTTCTCCTCCCCCTTTCTGTCGTGAGCTGTGGCAGCCGCGCGGCCGCGGGGCTGCGTGGCACAAATTGGCCTCGATGGCCGTTGCAAGCCGGCCAGGGCGCTCTCCAGGGGCGACGCTGCCCAGTCCAGGGTGCCGCTGCAGCGTGCCAGTGGCCGCGCGTTGGGATGCGTAGTTGCTCATTCTGGGAGGTGCCCAAGGGGGCCACCACCCGCATCACTGCTGTCTTTTCTGGCGAGTGCTTCGCACCCAGTGGGCGTGTACCAGCGCCGCTATCTACTTCTGGGCTGTCGCGCCGGCTCGTGGAGCCAATGGGCTGTGCTCGTGTAGTCGCTCTTTTTGCCGACTTTTTTGTTGGATTTTGTCCTCTCTCCCTCTCTCTCTCTCTCTCTTCCTCGTCCTCTCTTGCCCGCCCCTCTGGCCGCCCAGCTGCAGCCCGATGTTGGCCCGTCCCATGGTTCTTGTTGGCGCTGACCCCGTAGGGTGATCCACAGGTGCCGCCTCTGCGATGATCGGTAGAGCTCGCCATGTGGCTTCTTATCTCACTCGGGACGGCCATCCCAGCGCAGTTTAGGGCATGCAAGCAGCACCTGCCACTCCGATGTTGGGCATGCAGGCAGCACCTGTCGCACCAGTCTTTGTCCCCCTCCTCTTCCTTTTTCCTCCTCCTCCTCCTCCTCCTCCTCCTCCTCCTCCTCCTCCTCCGCTTGCTCTGGCGCATAACTGCCCGAATTGCCGCCCCAAGTTTCGGCCACGTTCGCAGGACATGCGTTCTGCTGGAAGCCGTGGTCTCTGTCTCTAGGCGGCATCCTGGCCAGCGCCGCTACGACAGGTAACGCAAATTTACGTGGCGACTCACGGAGCTGTCATCAGTTGTTACCTCACCAGCACCACTGCTGCAAAAAAAAATAGCGTGCGATGGCGTTTGGTAATCGATGAGAGAGCGCCGATCTAGCGTCGATTAGAGTCGATTTAGCGTCGACTCAGCGTCGATTAGCGTCGGTTCGCAAGAGCCAACAAGATGGTATGGGAGGCTCGCGTGAGTTGCCACCGATGGATGCATCGACCCCCAATCGCCCGATCGTCGCCGATGGGGGCCCGATGGCCCATCCCGCCCAGGAGCGTGAGGTTCGCTATCAGGGACGTGTTGCTGATCTATCGGCGACAGATCGCCGATTTAAGCTCGATGCTTCCACCCCTGAGCCCCCCCTTACACGCCGGTCGTCGGAAGGAGGTATCTATGGATTTCCAGATCCCACTCTACTTGAGGCGCCTTCCTACTTCAAGAATCGAGCGGTTTTCCTTCTTCCGTCCGCTTCAGGGAGCGGGCGGAAGCCCAATCCACCTTCAACGCCTTCCTACTTCGTGTTTCTACGCACTTTTTCTGGCCGACGGATATCGCCCCCCCCTCAAGAGAGCGGGGGCGAAGATCGACAGTAGTTCCTGCAAGGTCTGGGCAGAGTCCGCCGTTCACTGCTGCCGCTGGACAGGGCGTCGCCTGCCGCACAGCACCCGCCGTCGGCCCATGGACAGCGTTGTTGCTGGGCATACTTTTTTGTTGGGCGTATGTACCAAATTCAGGAGTGCTGATGTCAGTGTACGGGTGGGGTGGGGGTCTCACGTTTTTGGTTTTCTTCGCGACGCCTCAATGTTGAGGAGCAGGAGGAGGGTGGATAGGTGGCTCGGGCTGTATGCAGTAGTGCGGAGACCCCTCGTCGTCGCTGCCGCACTGCGCTCGTGCCATGGTCCTCTTCTTCGGCCGCCCGCTCCCGGTCCGGGCTTCAAACTTCGTGCCCTCCGTGCACGAAGTCCAGGAAATAGGCACGAGACCAGTACTTCAGGCAGTGGCGAAGCGTCCCGGCTTGCCTATAGGCCCTCCAAAGAATGTTCTAAGAATTTCTGTGGTTTGCACGAAATGTTATTAGAACATTTCTGGCTAGGACTGTCTTGTTTTAACACATCGGGCTTATGTTCTAAGAACAGGAACAATTTTGGGTTCTGAGAACATGTCGTGGTAGGCCTATAGGAATGCCGGGACGGTCGGAACCTGCTCAAAGTACCAAGATGTCGTGGTATTTTGTCTTCGCTGGTCTTGGTCATGGTTCATGTTGGCCGTCGCCGGTTATGACCGAGATGGACGAATATTAAGATGGAGACGGACGTTTCCGCGTTCAGTCTTGGTCATGGTAATCGTCCTCCTCCCCTGCACGACAGAATGCATCGGGAAGAGCTCTCCAGCGCAAACCTCCGATTTCTTCAGGCCTTTGCAACGCGTGGCTCCTGGACCACTTTCCGCACGTTGGCCGCAGACCTCTCGAACCCTTCCCAGGTCGGGAGCCTTGAGACGGAGGTCAATGCAAACGGGGGTCAGCCAGAGCTCCGGATATTGCAGGATCTTGCAGAGCCAGGATTGCATGTACCTAGCGTGCAGGATCCTGCAGGATCTTGCATGGCCTGACTGGCCCGGTTTTGGATTGACCCGGGTCAGCAGAACCTTTCCCACCGCCGTGGGGCCCCGAAAACTGCCCCTTGGAGGCCGTGGGTGGCGCAGAAAAACGAGTTCGACGGTATTGCCATCCGCACGTAAGTTGCCTGCGCAAGAGGGCGCGTAAGCGCCTTCGTTTCCAATGAAGCGTGCCGCGCTGGCGACCCGCGTAAGCCACCGCGTGAGGCCGCTGTGGCATCGTGCATGAGACACCTTGATTGTAATGACCCCCAGCCAGTGCCGCCGATCCGGGGGGCTCCCGATTCGGTGATCTTCGCGGCTCTGTGGCCGCCTCCCTCCTCGAGTCTTCCGGTCCTCTTTCTTCTCCTCTGGGGGGGGGGGCTGGAGCGGTCCCGGGGGGGGGAGGGGGTCCGGGGAGGGTTCCGAGGGGAGGGTCCTGGGGGCGGTAGCGGCTAGATCTGAGGGGGGTCTCTGGGACCCCCCGACAAATTTTGGGGATGCGCAAGTCATTAAGAAAACGCCAGATGGGGGACCGCCCCCTTCTCCCCAGTTTCCCCAGGGGGGTCCGGATGCGCAAAGCAGGAAGAAAACGCCAGATGGAGTCCCCCCCCCCTCCCCCCTGCCCCGGCAGAGCCACCCCAGCGACCCCCCCCAAGCAGAGCTGAAGTTCGTGCTTAGGCTCAGAGCTGAAGCTCTTGCTGAGGCTCGTTGTAGTTCACACGCCGGATCGGCGGATTCTCGTCGCTCACGTCCTCATTTTGTTCAAGACGCCCGAGGCCTGGGCAAGACATCTTCTCCGAATCGGCCCCCGGACCCCTGCCTGGGGCCTAGCCGGAGCAGGATTGCCAGGGCAAACTGGCCGCGGCGAGGGGCGGGCTCAGGCGGTGCCAGGGGAGTCTCCGCTGCGTGCAGGACTCTTCGCCGGAGGGGCCCTTGGCGCAGGCCTTCGGGGTCCCCCGTGGCGCTAGCCTCTGCGCTCGGATTTGCCCCCCCCCCCCCCCCCCCTCCCCTCCCCCTGGGCCCGCTGCCGCCCCCTACTCAACAAATCTGAAAAAGAGATCATAAGAGGAGGGAAGAAGTACATTACCGTGACGATAGTTTCTTTCAATTTGTCTTCGCCAGTAGCGCAACAGCGCGGAGTATTTCGGAGTAGAAAGATTCCTAACTACTCCGCGCGCGGGCGCATCCCGCCCGATGATTCAACAGGTCTGGCACGGCGCAGTTTCCGTTCGGATTTCCCAAACGAAGCCGCACACGCATTTTTCCCCAAACAGCTTGCTGAACGGGGTGCTGTTGTGGTAGAAACTAACTCCGGCCGAGGGAAGTCGGAGCAGAGACATCCTCACAAGAATTGTATGGTTTTGGCCGTTTCGCTTGAGACATCCTCACAACTCTCGTTTCTGAGTTGGCCGGGATTGGCCATTTCGCCTGAGACATCCTCGAAAAGTTGCACTCCGGGACGCCGCGCGAGAGGTGGTCCGGGCCGTTTCGCTTGAGACATCCTCGAAACTCTGAGCCCCGAGGTGCCGTGCGAGAGGTGGTCCGGGCCGTTTCGCTTGAGACATCCTCGAAACTTTGAGCTCTGCGATGCCTTGCGCGAGGTGGTCCGGGCCGTTTCGCCTGAGACATCCTCGAAACTCTGACTTCGGAGATGCCGCGTGAGAGGTGGTCCGGCCCGTTTCGCCTCTTCAGAACGTGTCAAGTTAATACACATCCGGTGTCGATTCGTTGATTTTTCCTGCTCTTGTGCGCCCCCCCTCCATTTGGAGACGCCCAATGCGGCCACAGGTTAGATATCCCCCCTGGGAGCCCCAAGAGGCTTCAGGAAGCCCCAGGAGGAAGCTCCAGGAGGTCCCCAGGAGGCCCCAGGAGGCACCAGGAGGCCGCAGGACGCCCAGGACAGGCCCCAGGGGTCTCCAGGAGATTCCCAGGAGGCTCCCAGGAGGCCCCAGGAGGCCCTCTTCAGAACGTGTCAAGTTAATACACATCCGGTGTCGATTCGTTGATTCTTCCTGCTCTTGCGCCCCCCCCCTCCATTTGGAGACGCCCAAACGGCCACAGGTTAGATATCCCGCCTGGGAGCCCCAAAAGGCTTCAGGAAGCCCCAGGTGGGGTCCAGGAGGCCACAGGAGGCCCAGGAGGAAGCCCCAGGAGGTCACCAGGAGGTCCCAGGAGGCCCCAGGAGGCCCCCGCAACTCGGAGCTCTGAGACGCCGCGCTCGAGGTGGTCCGGCCCGTTTCGCCTGAGTCTTGCAACTCTAGGCTCCGAGATGCCGTTCGGGATGAAGAGGAGGTGGAGGAGGAGGAGGAGGAGGAGGAGGAGGAGGAGGAGGAGGAGGAGGAGGAGGAGATGGAAGGGAGAAGGAGGAGGCGGATGATGTGCATGAGGGAGCAGGCAGGAGGAGGGGGAGGCCCCAGAGAGCTCCAGGAGGCCGCAGGACGCCCAGGACAGGCCCCAGGGGTCCCCAGGAGATTCCTAGGAGGCTCCCAGGAGGCCCCAGGAGGCCGCCTATCAGAACGTATCAAGTTAATACACATCTGGTGTCGATTCGTTGATTCTTCCTGCTCTTGTGCCCCCCCCCCTCCATTTGGAGAGGCCCAAACGGCCACAGGTTTGATATCCACCCTGGGAGCCCCAAGAGGCTTCAGGAAACCCCAGGTGGAGTTCAGGAGTCCAGGAGGCCCAGGAGGAAGCCCCAGGAGGTCACCAGGAGGTCCCAGGAGGCCCCAGGAGGCCCCCGCAACTCGGAGCTCTGAGACGCCGCGCTCGAGGTGGTCCGGCCCGTTCGCCTGAGTCTTCCTCGCAGCACGTTTGCCGCCCGAGAAATCGTCGCAACTCTGGGGTCCGAGATGCCGCGCGCGAGGTGGTCCAGCCCGTTACGCTGGAGACATCCTCGCAACTCTAGGCTCCGAGATGCCGTTCGGGATGAAGAGGAGGTCGAGGAGGAGGAGGAGGAGGAGGAGGAGGAGAAGAAGGAGAAGGAGATGGAAGGGAGAAGGAGGAGGCGGATGACGTGCATGAGGGAGCAGGCAGGAGGAGGGGGAGGAGGAGGAGGAGGAGGAGGAGCAGGAGGGAGAAGGAAGGGAGTTGCAGGAGAGGACCTAACGGGAAGCGAGTGCGATGTGGACTTGTCAAAACGTGTGCGAAAGACTGTCCGGCCCGTTTCGTTTGAGACATCCTTCCAATACTGAGCTCCAAGATGTCGCTCGCGAGGTGGTCCGGCCCGTTTCGATTGAGCCATCCTCGCAATGCGAGGCTCGAAGATGTTGCGCGCGAGATGGTCTGGCCCATTCTGCCTGAGACGTTTCGCAGCACAGGATCTCCAATCACAACCTCTCTCATTCCTTCTCCCGCCTCCCTCTTCCCACTTCCCGCCTGGTTCCTCTTCCCTCCTCCCTCCTCCTGCCTCCCGCCTCCCGCTGCTGCGCCTCTGCTTCCGCCTCCCCGTCTCCGCCG